TCTTTTCAGTATTGCCGGGGCCGTTCAAGTAAATGCCCCTTAAATGTGCCCCTGTAAACTGACAGCGATCTCTCCCAAAAAACGCTCCATGTTCGAAACGACTTTGGTAAGATAACAGTTGCTAGAACTCCTCTAGTACTAAAATCTGAAATTAGTACTTAGAATCGGAATTGTTTCCGAGCCTAATCCTCTTGTAATGATTTCTTTACGGAATTTTGCGTTGACGAAAAGGGACATCTTGCAGAGCTTCCGTATTTTGCCAACTCTATTTTGCCAACTATTTTGCCAATTGTATGGTTTGAGAGAAGCTTGCCCTGTTTTGTACCCTTGCATCCGGCTTGACTCAATGCGTGCGTAGGAAACTGGTGATTGATAGAATTCTTTCTTTTAGTTTTATTTTTGAATTTTAGCTGTTCTCGAGTGGATTGCCAATTGGATGCGTCATGTCTATCGTGCAAGTTTCCCCTTGACTGTCAACTCGATGAGCCAGTACAAGTCAACTGTACATCAGTGAAGGAATGTGGATCAAATCAAATAAGTACTAGAAGGGAAACGTTCTGCAGGTAAGCACGAATTCAGCTCTATATCGACTCCTAATATAGTTTCTTTGAGAGCATCTAGAATATAAATGAGCAATTGGAGTTTGTATGAGTTATACCAACATTGTGGTCGTGTTGCCCTCGGTGTACTTGAACGTGTTACTAAATAAATGAATGAATCAATAAATAATGAGTAACTACTCAAATAAATAGTTATAATTGCATGCAGGGGTGGCCAAAAAAGAGACACTTCGCCCATGGCGCACGTCATTAAAGTTTCCATCGCACAGGGTACTGTTGTTGATGAAATTTCACGGTGAAATGACGGTTCCTAGAGACTCTAGCCCTAAATATGCAAGACCCCTTCCGACCAGCGTTTCAGATAACGTCGTAAAGGTCCATGATCCGCCGAGGACCAGTTGAGCTCGAACCGTGCACAAGGTTCCCATGGCAAATTCTTGTGATGTCCTTGGTGCAGAAAGCTATTATAAGTTTATTGATAGATTGGATGTGCTCTTCAATACTAATAAGTTGGGAGCAGTCGGTTTGAGTTTAGCAAAGTGTGATTAATGCTGTCTGAAATGTGGAGTGAAGTGTCTCTTTTTTTAGGCCACCCCTGTAGTTTTCTGACTGACTATTTTTCTCCTGCAGTACTATACAGGAACTATCAAGAAGCGCAAGCAATGTTCCTAGGGAAACTTTGTAGTTCTTTAATTTTTATTTATTTCTGTTTTCTCGTATACTTTGGTTATCTTCATCCACTTTCTTTCGTACCCACTTGTTATTTCTAGCGTTTCTACATAGCTCATCTCAACAGTTTTGTTTGCAAGTTCTCAGGCCCGTCTCATAAATGCGTTCGGTTGCCCGGTGTTTTGAATCAGTGCTTTCGGTGCGAAATTTAGAAAGCCATTCGAAAACTGCCTGTCGAGACACAATCCAACGTTCATGTCCTCAAGTGATGTTGTCGAATGTGTTTTGAGTGCCATGTCCCATTCTGTTCAGAACAGCATTGCGAATCATCTCTCTACTGTCTTTATTGTAGAGAACAAGTGCAATGTCACATCAATTGGTCGCTAATGACTTTCGCTCAAAACAATGTAAAAGTTTCGTGAGGGCGCTTTTTTAATGCAGTCCGAAAACTTATGTTGTGATTTTACGTCAACTCACGTTTATAGAAATTCCTTCATTACAAGTCAGGGATAGAGCGTTTCTCACTCAAATCAGTAGTCTCTTGTCAACAGTGAGTAAATATATTACGTCGCAACGAAAGTGGTTGTGGATTCGACCCCAATTTCAAAAACATTTTTCTTGAAACTAAACTTTATTCCGAATGATAATTTTACAAGCACCTGCAACAGTCTGCCATCGTCGACAAGGAATAAGTGCTCTCCTCCAAAATTCGGCAGGTTCCGAGTCAACATGTGCCCATGTCCGCTTCCAACTGATGACAGTTGTCGTACTTTTTATCCTTTAACACTTTGACGACAGCGCGGCAACTATGTATGCCGCCACTTTTGCACCTCCATGGACACTGTGGCAACTATGTATGCCACACCAGTTACATTTATTTTTTGCGCACATGCTCGATTTCTTCCTAGGTTTTTTGTGTTCATTTTATAGGTCATACCATCAACATAACCAAGAACCACGTGGCTTACAGAATGACCAAATATTCTTTAAGTTTGGCAGAGGTTTTTCAGACCTGACGAAAATATCCGTTCAGTTCATTCCTCATTTTCTCTTCATTAACGCGAACATGTGAATAAAAAAGAATATTAGAAGTGAATACAAAACTAGTCGTGTGGCAAAATATGTTTTTTTACTAAAACAACCACGTCCAAATTAATTCTTGGAACCACTAAAGGGAAAGTAAGTAAAATTTGCCTTTTCATGGCCTTAACACGTCATTTCGTCGAACTTCCATTACTGTAACTCCCGATAAGTTAGACAGATCGAACATTATTGAGAACACTTAATCGCATCTGAATACTGCTTATTTACAGCTCAAAATTCATGGATTTGATGTGCGGTCGTCAACGTGTTTTAAAGGAAGTAGGTACGGAAAGGAATTTTCACATCTGCGGAGAACCTGCTCCCCACAGAGCAATTAGCAGGCCGCCAAGGAAGCGATGTGTGGCGCTTCCACTGCGAACAGTGCTGTGGTTGCTGAGCAGGACCATTGCGCCCTTCCGCCCCATGCGCCGCCCCGCCCACTGGTTTTGTTGATGATCTGGATGGACTGATTGCTGTTGGCTTTTCATTTTGGATGATCTTTTCCCATCTAGCGGCTGTATCTTCCATCTTGCCCATGTTATGCCTTATCAATCGAAACACTATGCTTGTTGGCATGATGGCAGCTATCGGGGTTAACACGTCCGAACAACGTCAGTCTTTACCGTCGCTCATCCATGATCGAAAATGAAAGGGCAATCAAAGGGGCACTATTTTGCTTATTTTTGACGGATTTCTTTGCTTTTTTCGCCACTGATGTACTATTGAGGACCCCCTCGTCCCCTCCAAACCACATTTAAACCTAGCGTAACCGCTGCCTTTAAGTGACGCAGCGGAAGTGGTGTAGTGACAAGTGGCGCGCTCACCACGCGAGCGGTCCGGGGATCAAATCCTGGGTCGTGAGTCGCCCGGGCCAACCAAGCCTTCCATCCCTCCGGGGTCGGTTAATTGGTACCAGACTTGTCTGGGAGGATAAAAACACTGACTTGTACATCGGCTGGCCCCCGCAAGTCATTGTATAGGCCACATCGCATTCAAACGCCACTACGAATGTACAAATGGAAGTAGAATGCGTGCCGCATCCCAAAAAGGGATTGATCAACGGCAAATGCTTTATCCTTTATCCTTTTATAGAAGTGCGGCCAGGAAACCAGACAGCAAAAGTGAGTCATTAGGTGCAAGATCTGGCAATATGGGAGAGATGGGGTAAGACCGTAAATCCAAGTTCCGCCAATGTGTCCTGGGTTACACTTGCAACATGAGGTCGCGCGTTGTCATGAAGAAGAAGGACTTCGTCCAGCTTCGGGCGAAGTTTCGCGAATTCAGCCGCGAGCCTTCGTGGTTGTGAGCAGTACACCTCAGCGTCGACGGTGGTATTGTCTGGCATCTCGTAATGACGTGTTCCCCGAACACTCCACCAAACTGACAGAGGAACTTTCTTGGGATGAACCTCCTGCTTTGGAACAGGCTCTGGCTTCTAGTTCGCATCCATTCGCTGTCCTCTCCTGTATGATATATGCAGAGCCCCCACTTTTCATCTCCTTTAATGACATTATTAAGCAAATCGAAACGGCGACTCTTTGCAAGAAAACCTCCGCACACTTCGATACCTCTTTTTCTTAGACTGCTCTGTCAGCTCATGCGGGATCCATTGAAAGTTTCTTGACGTTTCCCTGTTGGTGGCGGACACGATCTATGGCTATGTCGAAGCGCTGCATCTCCTTTGCCAGTTCCTTATCGCTTGCATGCGGAATGTCTTGAAGTAGCAGCTCCAAACGTTCGGAATGGACTTCCCGTTAGGGCGTCAATCTTCGAGTTGTAGTTTCCTTCGCGGAACGCTTTCTGAAAAAGTTGGCACGTCTCTCACTCACCCATTTACTTCCACAGAGCATATATTGCGGCTGCGCATATTGGGCTTCGCTCGCTGTGTGTCTCAAACAAAGTTCGCAAAGATGAATCTAAACATATGGCATTTTCCAGGCTTCACAAAGCATGCAGGAGATAAGACTCGAAAATATGAAGGAATCCCACTATCCCTATACATATATGGTTTAAAAATTACCCTTGCAGGTTGATGCGCAGCCGTTTGCCAGGTCTTTGGAAAGTTGCGCAAGGACTTGTTGCGACCCAATTTTTTAAAATCTACCAATCGAGTCATGCCTTTCTGTTGTATGATCAGTACTCGCGCAAGCGCGCCATGTCCTGTTTCGCCTTCGTTGTGTAGCTCTACTTGGTGAAATACAACTCATCTTGATTTGTAGGTGTTGACCTCCCAAAATCTTGGTTTTCGCTGTACTATTTCTGATCTAGGTTTGAATGGTTCTAACCTTCGGGTAAATTGTAGTCTTAAGGTACTGTTGGCAGTCCTCACCATCAGATTTCGACTGCCTGCCTCAGTCTAATTGTTCCACCACAAGTTCTCAACTTGTGCTCACTGAATGTGTGGTAAGTTTTTTTTTTCTCAATTTCTTGTCTTTTTGCTTATTGCAACATCTAGGTACATGCGAACGTCATTTGCAAGGGCCGGCGATCGTTCAACAAGCGTGTCAGGTATCTTTCAAGGGGCTTAAATTTATTCTCATTCTATCCGTTCGTCTAGAGTTATTATGGAATTCTATTCTTTCCTTGCTCTTTTTGATTGCTAATTACTCTGTTCTCAGATCATGGAGTTCAGAAGCTCAACTAAACTTTTTACTAGATAAATAAGCAAGCTATGTTGTCTTTTTACAGATGTAACTGGTCTTCTGGAATCAGCTGGGCAAAGGCAATGTTCCTTTCGGTGACGTTAGGTGTGTTTCTATAAAATTATCCAATTCATAAATCTAGTTCCCGTTTGAAGCTTTAGAAACCTGACTTTCAATTTTCTTTCGAAAGCTCTAGAGTTGTTACATGAGCATCCGTTTCATGAAATTGCATCCCATTGTTTCGTATCCATTTTTTTGCCTTCAGGAGGATTTGGAGCCGATCGATTCTATCTTGGGCTATGGAAGTCGGCTATCGGTAAACTGTTCAGTTTCGGAGGACTGGGCATTTGGACGATCGTTGATGTTGTATTAATAGCAACAGGATACATTCGTCCGGCGGACGGTTCACTATATATTTAATTACGTTGTGCCAATTTATGAGAAATCGGGTATGCCTAATAGGCTTAGGTCTTACGTTTTGGGTGCAAAACTTTCAGTGAAAGAGGGGGGGGGGTGCTTGAGACGGCGGCATTGTACGAAGCGATTGCTCTGACGCCTAGGCAATTTTCACAGCTTGCACCACCATGGCCCAAAGTGGCGCGAACGAACTGCGGATCTGCGAAATGAATCAAATGCGTATCGTTTCGTAAAATGGGGCGGGCGTGGAGTCGCGTAGACGAGTCTGCAAATCCTTCTGATGGATGTATGTTTTTCAAAGGTGAAGCGGCCCATCATTTCGCATTTTCGATGCCACGTCGCGTCATCTTGCTTTTACGCTAAGGGGCGGGGCGTTCTGCTCCCGCGTTCGCGTGTGCGC